CCCAAGTTCTCGGCTCTTGGGCGAGTTTACTCCAGCTGTGCGTTATTGACATCTGTATGATACACGGCGAGAGCGCGGAGCTGCGGCCGCCTGCACGTTGCAAGGTGTGTAAAAGACCCTTGCGGTGCTATTATTCTGTTCTTGCTCCTTGATGAGGTGGCTTATGAGCCTTATTTGCAGTGCTCTCGCAGGCTGAGTGTAGCATAATAAAAGACTGGTAAAATACAAAGGGTGCGCACGTTTCTGTCCATTTCTGCGTCGCCGCTGTCTTCAGAGTCATTGGCAGGAGTTCGGGGAAAAGCCCGGATCAACTAAAAAAAAGGCGGATTCTGTTAGGGCGGATTATTTGTGGCCTTTCAAATCTCATCAAACGATTGCTGTTCTCCAGTATCATTTATAGAGCTGCAGACAGTGCTGTACAAATGCTCAAATAGGGCACCGGTGCAAGTCCCAATTGCTTTCAGATCACTCATCAACTGAAAGTGTTTGCTAAAACCTTGCATATAAACCCAAGTAGTATCAACATATAAACCCAATTATTATAACCATTTGGTTCTGTGAAAACAGTGCAATGCTAATGCAACCTCCAGCTTAGGGGAAACATTTATGTGTGTATGTACACTGCTGAGACTTAGATATTTTTAGACAGTGTTTGATGCTAATAGTAAACCTTGATAGGTTTGTAGTAGAAGAGGTACTGTTATAGCTTTATTGACCTGTAGAGTGGATCAAAGGCTATTAATATTGCAGAACACCTAACAGTGAGTCAGTTACATTTGATGAGTAAATGAGATGGATCAGCTACTACAGGACTTAATATTACTCAGGTATAGTTTGCCTCGGGCTGCTGTGATCGAGTTTTTGTGGTTTCTGAGAAATATGAATTAAAGATGGATATATAATAACTGTTTTCATCTCAGCCAAACTCAGATGTATTAATAATAGTCAAAGCTGTGTTAATAGTAGGAAGCACTTGTGGGGGATCGGAGTTAATTGATGATCTCATTACATACATGTAATGAGAATTAGAGCACTGAGCGTGTTACAGAATTGTTATAATGGGCATTAAAACTAAATATGTGTAAGACCTTTGTACAGCACTGTACACATATAGAAAATATATTTTACTTTGTGCATAAAAATGAATGATTAAACAGTCGATTTATTGTTCCTTCAGCACCATGAACAGCTCCCCTTCTCAGTCTCCACTTCAAGTTCCACTGAAGCCGAGCGTTTTTATAAAGATAAACGTATTAAATTAATCAAACCAGTCTGTTTGGTGTATTTCACAAGGTAGACTGTGGTAGATGTTGTTGCTATGTGTGAATAAGTTCACGTGTATTATTCTGTATTTCAAAAAGCTCACATAAATAGATGAAGCTTTCAGAATGATCTCAAAGAGTTAAAGCTCGGGTCACACCTAGAATGATGATAAAAACTATAACTGTTCAGTATGTTGTTTGTGGACTGGGCACACCCAAAGGAAAAAGGGCTTTGTTATATCAAACAGCACCTGCCAGTCTGTCGTTTTATTAATAAACAACTCTTTTATTTCTTACAAGATGGGGGGACAGTGGAAGAAAGGTTGCAATTGGCCAAACACAGTTGGTACATAAAGTACTACAGCACAGAGAGTGTGTTCAGCCATGTGTTGTGGTGCACAGACAGCTGCTGTTCTCATTTCAAAATGAACCATGTAGAAAAAGACAGCTTTAATAAAAGAGCTGATAAAACAAAATCCCATAGATAATGCCATGACTCACAGTTTTTGTTATTGGCTGTGTAGCTCTAAATTAAAAGGGAGAATTTTGCATGAATGATGACAGGTATACTTTAGTATCTAAAGTTAATACACCTGTTTCCTAATATTCCCCTTTTAAGCACATTTTAACCTAAATTTCTCTTAAATAAGAATTTAATTAGGTGGTGTTTAAGTCAATGTACCCTATGAAACAGTTGTTTACTTACTAGTGTGATTTACTTTTTTTTTGCATAATGGTCTATATATCTGTAGCAAGTTTACAAGAGCTTATGCACAATAAACCAGTAGATGTAAGCAAGCTCAGAAGATATTAACTTATGAACGTTTACTGTCCAGTTACGTTGACACTGCAGTAGGATGACTTTCCCATTAGGTGCGGTACTGAAGCAAAGTGTAAACTAAAAAGAAAGAAATGTGCGTTGAATGGCATCTTTCAATTCACACTTTTTCCACGTTTCTCATTCTTGTAATTGCTATCTGACATTTTAAAATGTTTACTAGGAACGAAACTCGCACATTCCTCTAAAATATTGTATCAACTTCTGAGCCACGGCTAGCATACATAAACTGCAACCATATTCTACTTATTGAGGTTGGTCTGTCGCTGAAGAATGTTAATATTAACATATAGCAGTGGATGTTTCTGTACCTATGCAATAAGTTGCTGTATCTTTTCAATCTCCTTCTTCATAGAATATAATAGTTCACTGTGGCTATATAATGTGACTGCCTCCCTTGATTTAAATGGGCTGATTTTTAAACTCTCAGTCTTATGTGTGTTTCATATATAATGATATAGGCTGTATTATATGTGACGGTTAAACTGGAAAGAATAACCTTATGTTAGACTCATTACTTAATAAAATTTTTAAATAGAATTCTTTTATCTTCCTGTCATTAAAATATCACTGCATTCTTACTAGGCTATTTCTTTGTGTATGCAAAAATATTGATTTCATGTGTTTACAATTAAGAGAACAGGTAAGTCCTGCTGAAACTAGACTGATGAAATGCTTTGTATCCAAGCAATGGTTGCATAAAAGGATTAAAGCCTTTAGCAAATAGAACAATACCCCAAAAGCATAACTGATCACAATCTCTGTTCTCTAGTCCTCTGTTACAGCATTGTGCAACCCTCATAAGCATGAGTGCAATCAGTCCTTAACAAGCAATCTAAACATTATAATAACAGATCTGTAAGTCAGGTAATAACTGTAAAAGTCATGTCAATACTTTGGTACTTAACATTTAAGTTAACGTGTGAGGGAATGTTAAAGCAGATTTGATGGGAATTCAGAGTTTAACAGAAGCATACGTTTATCACTAAAGCATGACGACAGACAGGGGATTTTATCAACATCTTCACTGGGGGTCTATGCATTTAATTATTTGTGTGCAGTTCAGTCTGCATAATTGCACACCCTTAACCACATTGCCCGTGAGTAACACAAAGGTAAATGCCATTACTGTAGTGTGAAGGCAGTAGTTGATGAAAATCTGTTTTTTACTCCTTTTTTTTTACTTGAACTTCAGATTGACTTAATATCATGAGATATGTCTCTGAAGAGAGGTTCCCAACACCCAATGCAGAACTATTAGAAGGTCATTGATAGAACTAACAAACTGAACTTAAAACTGAACAAAAAAAGAACAAACTGAACTTAAAAGCAAAGAATAAGTCACTTCGGAGTTCTACTGGGGCATCATGCTAAAGCTTGTTGTGCTACTTTCATGATATTATTGGACAGGAGTACATTTTTCATGTTGACAGTGTATATCCGTAGCAGGCCAGAGTACTACATTAGTTTTAAAACTCACTTTCTGACTGCAGAGTCTCCTGATGATTCTTCACTTTGTTTTTTTTTAGGTAGAAATAGTTTCTCAGCTGAACCTTAACAACCGTGCTCCTCAGTATTGAATGAAGGGTTTGACATCCTTCAAAATGTTGCATTCATTTACAGTATCTTATGATTTTTTTTTCATTTGGCCTTGTTATTCTGTGAAGAGCCGTGAAATATTGTTAAGATGTGTACAATATGGTGTGTCCTCAAAACATAAGTATTAAATTTTTGGCTTAAAGTGAGATTCTTAAATGTGTACTCCATAGAGACCTTTTACTTTATCTTTTTAGGAAGCTCTTTGTGGGTGGCTTAGACTGGAGCACCACGCAGGGTAAGTTAATAACTGTCCATCTGCCTTTATGCCTTGGCAGAACAAAAGAAGCAGGTCCTGCTGGAGATTTTGTTGCGTGCTGGGCCTCCGTTTTACTGGATGTTCTGAAGCTTTATATGGCAACAAAATACCTCATCTGTGTTCTGAGTGTTGTGGGACAGGAACAGGATTTTTTTCTGTCCTGACTTTGCTCGATTTGGCAAATTTCTCTTTTGAGCAACACGTCTATTCTCAACATGTAACATTACATTACACACTTTGATTCAAGTCTTGTGAACTGATTTTTCTGTTGTTGCAACACTTCTGATCCTGGAAAGTTTGTTATAGTTATAACACGGTCCAGTTTAAAAAAGCAGGAATAAGGGAGTCCAGCTTTGTGATGAAACTAATGGCACTATAACACAGCACTTTCTTCAGCACGTTCAAGCAGTCTAATCACTTGCATTCACTCATTGTTAACACATTTGTGCTGCATTTCGTCATTTAGTTGCAGCAGCAAGTGCATGTCCATCTATTGCTACTTTAGATTTATACCAAGACGCATGAGTTGCTGGATCTGGGTGCATATATGCAAGTGTTAAATCTCAAAGCAAGTGCTTGCTTGTGTTTAGGGTAATCTTCCTAGACATGTCAGATACACCAGTTTTCAAACATTGCACCGTAATATATAACCTTTTCATGTTTGTGCTTTCATACTATGTATGTTATATCTTTAAAGTTCTTCTGAGCTAATGTTCTTTCCAGTGCAAATGCCCCCAGTCACCATACCAGGGCACTGGTTTGGAAATTATAGTCCAGAGGAAAGAGAGCCACCTACTGATCCAACAACCTTTAGACACCAAATCCAAATCCATTTTTCATCAAATGGAGCATTATATCCACAAGTTACTTTAAGATTCATATTCAAAAAGGAACCCAGTGACTTCAGACAAAATCCAACAGATTTAATACAAGCTAGGATTTATGTGTATTTGGAAATTAGAGGGCTAACTGAATAAACGTTTTAGATGGTAAGAAATGACCAGTTTGTGATTACTTTAACGTTGTATGCCTCCTGTGAGTGCAGAGTGGAAGAGAGGAGCATGTCAGTAGCTTGGAGGCATCCAAAGCCTCAGTTCGATTCACATGCTCGGATGGCACAGTTGTGTTTGCAGCAGAATGTTACTGTGTCTGCTTGCACTGCTCCTGCCCCGCTTAAGGTATCCACCTGGACTTCATCACTGCACTACCTTGAGGCTTTTAAATAATGAGCTAAGCATTTACAGCGCATTCTGGGATTTTTGTTGATGCCTGTATTCCTCTATTTGCCTTAAGGCTTTAGGCTACTAGAAGGAATAAATGAAAATCACATTTAGTGAACTGACTTTTTTTTTACCAAAGAAAGTTTTCATTAAGACTTTCACAATTCTAGCTAAACACTATATCAGTATTTTTATTTTTAAACATGTTTGTTGGTCTGAGTTCCCAGACTCTTCAGAAGAGAAGCTATACTGAGACAAAATAAGACCATAAAAATAGTGGTCACTAGCTCAGAAAAGGAGACAGACTCACCCTGCATTTAAACCTAATTACAACTTTGCTCTTTGAAGAGT